TACTCATGGATAATTACTGTATCACAAAACATTTAAATCTTCCAGTAAAATCAAACACTTATCTTTGCAAGTATTTTTATCATAACAGCAAAGACAGAGGAAAAAGTAGGGCCACCCTCTCTAGAATGAACAGGATGCATTCCAGGAGACACACTTCTGTCAGAAAGCATCCTGAACAGCAACTCTGAATATTTTCCACTGAAATATAAAACCAGTCCATAATTTTGGAAAAAAAAAAAAAAAAAGAAAGAAAAAAAGAAGATCATTTATTTGGTTTGTTTTAACTATTTATATTTGTAGTACAAATTACATTATACAAAAAGCATACAAAGCAAGAACACCACTGCTCTGCACCACTGAAAATACTGAGCTATGTAAAACTGAAGATTATGTTTGCTTCATTGGAGCAGGAATATTTGCAGATGCTTGTTCCAGGTAAGCTAAGGGACCTTGAGGCATTTCTGCAGGCTTTTTGTGCTGTACACTGATGTCTTCCAGGACCTGTTGCCAGTGTCGCAGTTTACTCAAATGCTTCTGAATTAATGCTTCTTTTCTCTGCAATTCATTTCTTAATTCTGAAACATCCTATAGATGAAAAAAAGTGTTTTAGTAAATAGATGGTATTCATAAGAGCAACCACCTAACATAAAGAGCATGTAAGTGTTTTAGCTTGAGTTTTCAAGCTGATCTTATAGTGGAATAATGGAAAAGTGTCCAGTGAAACAGAGAGAGAGCACTGCAAATGAACTAGTGCCATTCCCCTAAATCACATATTTCAGAGATCACTACTTCCAACAAAATCTGACTAACTGATTTGTCTCTTCCAATGAAATTACCAGCTGTGTTCCAACATTCCACAGAGCAGGAGGCATCCGTCTTCTCCAGGATCACAGTGAGAGTTATGTTAACAGTCAAGTTCTACCAAGTTAAGGTAAAGCATCATGCTGAGAAACCCAAAATTAATGTGAACAAGGTGATTAACATACACAGTTCATCTCATCTAGCACAAGACAGGTGAATTAATTTAAACGTACCTCTTTAATGACTTGTTCTGGTTTCTGGACTGATAGCTGCAGTCTCTTTTGTAGAAAAAAGCATTCAGTTTGTCTTGCAACATCCAGAAACTTTTGGATACACTGATCAACACCTAAACATATATAGCAAAAAAGAAAGAACAGATTCCAAAAAAATAAGACTTCAGTATGATAATAGTAGTGGTCTGCTTGCTATTAAAAACACTATTCACAGTACTTTCTAGAAAGAAAATCTTCAGAATATCTAAAATTACATATTTGTATAATATATTTATTAATGACATGTTTATAAAACCAGGATGTGCATTAAGTCTCCATATAAGACACTGTTCTGTAGACTTTCAGAACTTCTTTTAAAGGTGCAAGACAACAACACTTCCAAGTTTTATTACATGTCTGACGATAACAAGGAATAATAAAATAATTCATAGCACTTGGTTGGATAAAGAAAACATTTCTGCACGCCCAAGCAAGAAGCTCAATGTAGGGTTCTCAAATATGAGCATATTGAGGAGAATTCCTATATTACACACTACTGATTTAGTAATGAAAGCTGTTGTATCCCAGCATATCAATATGACTCAATATCCAGAAAGGAGTTTTCAAAAGTATGTAGGCCGTTTTTGAAACAGCACTTAAGAGTCAAGCTTCAAAAAATTTTCAGGGACAAGTACACTTCTAAGCAGTCAAGGCCACTTTCCAAACTCCTGTATAATAGCAGTTCAGTATTTATTCCGCCTCCACGGAGGTGCATCACTCAAGCCTTAAAGCATCACTACAGAGCAGCCCGGGCTGTCCTTTCCCACTTTCTATTACCGCTCCATGCAGCTTTCCAATGCATCACACGAGCTCCATGGATTTGGAACCATGCACCCGTCAGTCTAACCCCACACAACTCCCGGAGCCAGCCGGCACTCGGGACCTCCCGACCAGATCCCGCTCCCGGGTGGGTTCCTTTCCTCCCACTGCTGTGAGCAGCGTTCCACCGGGGAAGGGGCGACCCTCAGCTGCCCCCCCGGGCTCACCGGTGCGGATCTCCTCCTGGTCCGTGCCGTTCACGTAGTCCTGGCTCACCAGCGAGGCGAAGCAGGCCTGCGGGACAGGGAAGCACCGCGCTCAGCGCCTGCGGGGGGCGGCGCCGGGAGGGCAGCGCCCGCCCGCCCGCCCGCGACTCCCCCCGCTCACCTCGAAGGACGCTTCCAGCTCGTCCACCAGCGTGTTGTTGGGGTTGCGCGGCCCCGCGGGCGGCGGGATGAGGCCGGGCGGGCCGGGCGGCCCCGGTGGCGGCGGCGGCCCCGGGGCCTGTGAGCCGAACATGCCGCCCAGCGCGCCCGCCATGGCGGCTGCGGCGCATGCGGCGGGGGCGGGCCCGGCCTGCTCCGCCCGCCCAGGGAGCGGCCCGTGGGCTCCGGGGCAGCCCCAGCTGGGGGAGCTCACCCGCGTTAAACACTGTCGTCAGGGTTGGAAGGGACCTCTAGAGATCATCCAGCCCAAACCCCCCGCCAAGGCAGGGACACCTGGAGCAGGTGACACAGGAACGCATCCAGGCCGATTTCGAGTGTCTCCAGAGAGGGAGACTCCACAACCTCCCTGGGCAGCCTGTTCCAGCACTTTGCCACTCTCAGTGTAAAGTTCTTCTTCATGTTGAGGTGACACTTCCTGTGTTTTAGTTTATGGCCATTACTCCTCATCCTGCCGCCAGGTACCACTGAAAAGAGTCTGTCACCATCCTCTTGGCCCCTGCCTTTGAGATATTTATATGCATAATTGAGATCCCCTCTCAGTCTTCTCCAGACTAAACAAGCCCAGCTCCCACAGTTTCCCCTCATAAGAGAGATGCTCCAGACTCCTCATCATCTTTGTGGCCTCCGCTGGACCCTCTCCAGTAGCTCTTTGTCTTTCTTGTGCCAAGGAGCCCAGAACTGGACACAATACTACAGATGTGGCCTCTCTACGGCTGAGCAAAGAGTGAAGATCACCTCCCTCAACCTGCTGGCCACTCTTCCCAGCAGACCCCAGGATACTACTTTCCCTCCTAGTAACACGGAGAGCAGGGACAGCAAAGCCATCCTCCTCCTCCAGTGTCTGCCCTGCCCGCACCTCACTGCCACCAGCTTGGGTAAGCACTGGTTCTGCATCTCTTGTTACACACCACCGTTTAACAAAAAATCCTGAAAAAACACCCTAAACCAAATCAAACCCCCAAACTGTCAAAACAACATCACTCCATCGTTTTAAGTCTGTTTGATGTTTGAACTGATTCTAGGAATACTGTCCCTGCTGGGAGCCCAACAGTCTCACACCAGGGAAGGGGGGAAGCAACAGGATGACAAAAAGTATGTGAGATGGGGGCAAGTTCCTAAAAAAACCCCCATGAAACAGTAACTTGCATTCATTATTTTTTTGAAAAACAGTTACAAGATACTCTTTTGCTGACACATTTAGAACTAACTCTATAATTCAGTGCTGAAGTCATGCTAATCATGCTAATTGCAACAGCCTAAAATGTCTGATGCAGCATCCTTTCTGCCTCGGTACACACCAAGAGCAGGTTTAGTTTTTCAAGGGAAAAACGTCAGAATGGCATTTTTATGAACAACTTTGCAGAGCTACCTTTCACACCATCTAGAGTTCACCCAAAACTGAGGCACAGCTACAATTTCCTATGGTGCATTCTCTCAGTCAAAACATACATCC